AAAAGCTGTGTCATCTTGAAAGTCAAGTAAAGGATGGTCAAATTATACCAATGCTTTTGATAGAGCAAATAAGGTGAGGGTTGAGAAGGGAGCTTTAGATTTAGCAACATAGATGAACAATATATGTGGGTTTCTTTCCTGTAGAATTCATATTTCATGTGCTCAGGAATTATTGAATTTTTAAATTCATTTTTGTAAGGGGACACTCACCACGTTACTGATATGACACCAATTATCATTTGGAATTGGCCCTTCCCTTGAATGGTATTTAACTGTTCTGTCTGAAGGTGATGCCATTTTCCGACTGCCCGAAAAATGTGGAACAAAGCAGATGTTAGCCTGATAGCTGTTGGAGAGCAGTGTTAGCAGTCAGGTTTGAATCAAAGTAGAATAAATTAGATATTCTTAAAGTCATAGGTTAATAGAGTAGAATTTGTTCTGTGTAATTAATTCTGAAGAAGAAGATATTAAAATTCCTGAGAGATAGGAAGACAGATTGATTCAGAAAGACCCAAATGAATGAAAGAAGTAAGAAACTCTGGGTTTGCAACTAACTTTCCAATGTTCTTTACCAAAGGATTGTATGATATGATATTTTTGAGAGGTAAAGTTTTGTAGATAATGGAGTCATTAAAATGACTTTTGGTAATAAGTATTTTTAATAAAGGAAATGCATATGGATTTCTGCAAGAGGACACAGAGGCAAAGATATAACATATTGTAAAAGTTTATATATGTTTAATTAGGATACCAGAATCTCTTGACTGAATTTGAAATGCCATATTTCCAAAGACATCATTTAATTAAGTAAAGTCTTACATAATAAGTTGGAAATTAGAGTTGGAAGAAATATAATCATTTATATTTCTAAAATAGAAAAAATTTTAAATATAAATAAAATTATCCTGATTGATATTTAGGGCAAAAAACCATTTAAACCCAGCAGTTTATTCAGAAGTGGCTCCTTCAGCTTGAAACAATAACTCTTGAAATGATCACAAATCAGTTGTAAACTACAGCAATAATGAAAGAGAAATCAAGTGTAGTCACTGTAATGCATGACATGCAGAGGTGCTGAGATTTGTGAAAGAAGCATGTAAAATTTTTTTCAATTAAGCAAGCATCTAAATCTCTTAGTCAACTTCTCCTTTACCTACCTCCTCCTCCTTTTTTCTATATCAAAAATAATTCCAAGGATCAATGCTGTGCTGGGTATTGGCTTTCAGCCTTGTGATATGTTCAAACATTAAAGTTTGTGTGTATATGTGTGTATGGAGTATACATCTGTGTGTATATTATACATCTATCTACATATGTTTATATATAGTATTTATGTACATACACATATGGGCATGTAATACACATGCACATACACACACACTTACCCAAAAGAGGTTAAGTGCATTAAGAGTTGAGTTATAACTAAAAAGCTGTGTCTCTAACCAGCTGTTTCTCTGACGACCCTAATACTGTTGCTGTGCCAGTATTAGGAAGCAGTAGATGATACTTTAGTTTCTTAGATTCCTTAGTTTGTCTTTAGTTTCCATATTAAGAGAATGATGCCTATGAAGGCAACTCAGCCAAGTATTCGGAAAACCTCACTCATTATGAGTGCGCAGGCCTTTGCTTTTTCAGGGCGAGCCGTAGATAAAGAACAGTGAGCCTCCACCCCAGTGGTTCTCAAAGTGTGGTTCATGGAACCCTGGTTGCCTAAACCATTTTAGGGGGTCTACAAGGTGAAAACTATTTTTTAATGCTCAGATGTTTTTTGCCTTTTTCACTGATGTTGCAAAAGCAATGGTGGGTAGGGCACCTTAGCATGAATCAAGATAGAGGCGCCAGACTGTTCTGTAGAGATTGTATTCTTCATTGGCACACACTTACAACTTAAAAAATGCCAGTTTCATTTAATGTCCTCATTGAATCAGTGAAAATTATTATTTTAATAACTCTCAACCCTTGACTACATATTGTATTAATATACTGTCTAGTGAAGGGAAGAACATATAGAGCACTTCTGCTCCATTCCAAAGTACAATTGGTGTCTCAAAGGAAAGTCCTTATTGAGTTAAAAGTTGAATTAGCTACTTTATCATATTACACCATTTTTACTTGAATAAAACAACTGATTATTCAGATGAGTATGTGGAAGATATTTTCTCAAAATGAATGAAGTAAGCCTGATACTTCAAGGAAAACAACGGATACTTGGTGCCAGAAATAAAATTAAAACTTTCAAGTGATGATTAAAATTTTGGCAAACATGATTCCATCACCATGAGTTTGACAGCTTCCCAGTACTTAAAAACGTTGCTGATGAAAGCAGTGGTGATATTAATGAATGTGATTTTCTTTATATAATTTGTCAACATTGGAAGATCTGCATAACTCAGTGATTCAATGTTTTCCAGATGACTGATGCATAATGTTACAAAATCATGCATGGGTAAAAATCCATTCAAAGTGTAAGACGAATGAGTTTTAATATCATGGAGTTTGAAAAGTGCATTGATAGAGTTTTTAGACCCGTATTGCAACTAACCAAGTCAGTCTGATATTTTATCAAAAATTAATATCCACAATTATATGAAAAGGCTATTAAGATACTCCTTTTCCAACTGCATATCTATTTGACTCATAAATTTGAGTCAAAACAACATATTGCAACAGATTAATGCAGAAGCAGATATGAGAATCCAGCTATCTTCTATTAAGACAGACGTTAAAGAGATTTGCAAAAATGTAAAACATTGCCATTATTCTCATTAATTTTTTTTTGTTTCATAGAGTAGTTATTTTTCATAATAATATAAGTTAATATGTAATGGGTTTATTATTTTTAAATGAGTTAATATATATTTTTAACTTTCTTGGTTTTAACCTCTAATATGGTAAATATTGATAGGTATAACCCACATAAAAAAGCTCTTTGAAGTCCTCCTCACTATGTTTCAGAGCTGAAGGGATTCTGAGATCAAAAAGTTTGAGAACCACTGCTCTACAGTGATGCATTTTATTCCTGAAATTGTTCCTCACTTCAAAGAACAAGCCCAGTTCCCTCCAAGGTGTCCAGGAACTTATCATGAGGGAGACACCAACCAAATCTGTCCAAGAATGGCGACGAGAGCACAGGCGCTGTACTTGTGAGCGCTGTCACTGCAGCGGGTTAGGGTCACCCCACATCAGATTTGGATGAGCAGTGCTCCATGAAGGAGCATCTGAATTCACCCATTCATTTATTCAACAGACAGTTGTTCAGGGCCTTTTGTTTGCCAGACCCTGTGGTAAGTGATGGAGATGCAAAATAGAATAAGACAGTAGCTTCTGGAACAGAATTTGGAAGTTAAGATGAGTTAGTGCCTGTCTGTGACTGTGGCTGGAACAACTGTGACAAGAAAACTTTTAAGGCGGTGAGATTGTTGTAATGATTCGTTGATAAGAAAAGAGGTCATGAAGTGTCAGGAAAATCAAACTTTGAACTAATCTGGAACGTTAATGACACTAGGAATATGCAAAGTTATTTATTTAGCTTGTGTGGCTTGCCTGCAACACGTTTTGAGAACACACATGGGCATAACAAATAGGTTCTACCTTCAAAAAGCTTGCCGCCTGGTGGTAGTAACAGAATGGAGTTAAGAAAGTTGTGTTTCAGTAAAATACGAAAATCGTATCAAATGCTGCACACATGTCAAGTAGGTAGGTCATAGGTGAGAGCAGCGCCAAGCAGTTGAATTTTCAACATTGTGTTAAGGAACAAATCCAAAAGGAAGACAAATTACTGCTAAAGAAAAAGTCGGATAAAGCAGCAAGACAGAATGGATAATGTCGTAATCGTTTCCAGAGATACCCACCAGTGGACTCAAAGAGAGGCTTTGCCTTTCCTTGGGCTGTTTATTGTACAGCCCTTAATTCAGTATCAGGGACGGAAGGCCAGGAAAGAAACAAGCCTTGCAAGAATAAGCAGCAAATGTAGCCTTTCCCTTGCCCTTTAATTAGGACTCAATAACCAGAACAGATGTGGAGAGGTCGCTTATTGGATCCAAAGATAGCAGAAGGGAGAGAAATTCTTTTTGGCCCTCATTGGTCACCCTTATCTGTTGCCATAAGATAAGGAAAGAATATTACTTCTCCCACTAGCAGGATGGTTAACTTGGAGTCCTGGATCATAATAAAGGCAGTGGGACTGAGCGGTGAGAAAGGAGAACGCAGACTAAGAAAAGGAGGCGTCTCTTTTCCCTTTTCCCAGATCCCGAGGTGCACCCTCTTCATTTATCTTCTGTCATCTAGATAGAGATAGGAGTTTCCAGGGCAAACTGATTTCTCAGAGAAGATGAGGATAATTTGAGGTTCACAGTGAAATATGAGGAATACAGGAAATAAAGAAATCAAGGTAAAGGCACAGGGAATAAGAAAAAAGGGGACAAGAAAAAATGAAGCCCCCACCACTACCACCACCAATGAGATTGTCTCCCTTACCGGACAAGGACCATGTGGCAAAGTCGCTTGCCTTCCCCAGGGAGCAAGCAAAATGCTTTACAAATAGGTCTCAGGAAATAATTAACACAAACCAATGCTGAGAATACACTTTAAAAAAACAGTTTAAAGCAACAACCCAAGATGGTAAGATAAACAGCAAAAACATTTCAAAGGATGGGCTCTGCTCTCCTGGCATCTCGGTGTACTGTTTTAGGAGAAGGGAACATCCAGGAAATAATGGACTGTTCTGGCCATGGTCTCCTGGTCCATGTGGAACACAAAGAGAAGCCACTTATTGCATAATAGTTCAGTAAAGGTACTTGCCATTTCCATGTGGGGCTTCTTCTTTCCTTAACTGGTGGTTTTATTCAATGGCTTATTAAAACACCAATGAACTGTGACAGCTCCTGGACTAATTCAGAACACTGTTTCTGGTGGGTTGAAGCAGCATTTGAAATGCTGTTAACAGTGCAGTATGTTGTACGTGAAGGTAAATTAATTCCTGGTGATCTCTCCTTTTTCAGCAACATGATTCCGGTGACGGAATTCCGGCAGTTCTCTGAGCAGCAGCCTGCCTTCCGGGTGCTGAAACCGTGGTGGGATGTGTTCACCGACTACCTTTCGGTGGCCATGCTAATGATCGGTGTGTTCGGATGTACTTTACAGGTGGGTCCCTAGACTCCTGTCACAATGGGAGCCAGAGCAAGACACTGTGCTGTTGAAACTCTTCAAAGAGCTGACTATGACTTATAACCATATAAGTATTAGTTGCTCTTCTCTACTTGTGTATGGTATTTGTAATCATGGCAGGGAGCTTGAAAACACTTATTTACTGAACTTTCCTATTAAGGTAAATATGGTACTTGTAAGATTTCACTGAGCCCAAACAGCAATTGACTATAGTCAAATAATATTTGATGTCACTAACAAAGGGAGTCCATTATCTTTCAAAGTTAGCTTTGTATAAGATATAGCATATATATCCACAGCGCCATTTATATTGCCAAAGTGGAGCTTTTTTCTTTATTTCTTATACTTACCCCAACAAGATTTTCTGGAAGAACTAACATTTTGGTGAGATATCCAATGTTTGGTGAGAAACCCAATGTTTAGTTCTGAATTAAAATGTAACCCTATCAATATTTATTCTGTATAGATGCTATGTGTTTGTATATTGAATCTAGATTTTTTTGGCATGTCTGTTGTGTGCCAGGCATCATACTTTGAGGACATATATACTTATAAGAAGTTCGTTTCTAGGGGAAAACTAAATAAACAAGCAATCAGAAAAGGGTGTGTTATATTGTGATAGAAGCATCCATAAAGCACTAAGGGAGTGCAGAGGGGCGCTTGGCTTGGGAACAAGAGAAAAGGTGATGATTGTATTAAAACTTGGAGAACCAGCTGAATTTAGTCAAGGAGAGGGAGCTGGGGGTGGAAGAAGGTGCCGGGAAGAGGAGAGAAAGCTCTAAGTCATGGATGACAAAGAACACCACATCTCTGGGAAACTGCCAATTGGGTGTGATGACTATGACTCTCATTGGGTGTTGTCAGTGTGAGAGTTGGAGCCATGCCTGTGAGTAGAATCACCCAAGGAGAATGTCTTGAGTGCGATGATGTCTGGAAGAACATTAAAGACTGAATGAAGGGAAAGGGGGCACCTCGGAAGAAGACTGAGAAGGGGCAGCTATAAGGCAGGTAGAAACCAGGCGCGAGGAGGGGCTCAGAAGTCAAAGGCAGGTGCAATCAATGATGGCAGGCAGCACAACTAACAGACTGGAGAGAAAAGGAGCAACTAGGTCATTAGAAATCTTCATTTCAGTGGTTGGAAAAGTGAATGGAAATTAAAGTAAAGGCTGTGGAGTAGATGTGACTTTCAAGTAGGTCAGCTGGGAGGAAGAAGAGCTAGGAAGAGAGAGAAATAGCTAGAAATGGTGCAGAGTAGAAATAAAGGCCTTTATAAAGTTGATTGTAATAATAAACACATAGTGCTTCCTGTGTGTCAGGCACTCTTCTGAACACTTTACACGTATTTTAACTCATTTCATCCTCATGGCAACCCTAAGATGTAAGTACTATAATTCTCCCCATTTACAGATATGACAACTAAGGCACAGAGAAGTTAGGGAAATCTCCCAAGGTGAGTGGCAAACCCTTATTGAAACCCAGGCAGTTTGGCCCCAGAGTCCCTGTCCTTGATCCCTAACACCATGCTGCCTTTTGTTTGTAGGCTGAAAATATTTTGCCCTTCCCTCACCCCCAAAAGGATGCCAATGAAAAACTAGAGTTTGAAAGAGAGGGCATAAATTCATTCATAAATAAAACAAATAGCTGTTGAAGAACGTACTGTGTTCTAGGCACTGCTGTAGGTGCCAAGAATTACCAGTGCGGGAGGAAAATAGGTAAATATCCCAGCCTTATGAACCTTAAATTCTGTTGGAAAAACAAGCAAAATGAGCAAAATCAATTAGTAAATTACATATGTTAGAAGGCAATAAGCACAATGGGAAATAAAATAAAGCATACGAGGATGGTCGGAGGTCCCAGCAGCTGAGATTAGGAGTTGCAGTTCTCAAATGGGGTGGCCTGGGAAGGCATCATTGGGAAGGTGACTTTTGACTAAGGAATTGAAGGAAGTGCAGGAGCCAGCCGTGCAGATGTCCGGGAGGAGCCGTCCTGGCAGAGGGAACAGCAATAGCAAGGGACACATAGACAAAGGTTCGCAGAACCCTTCTCCTTCTGCAGGAGAATTTGACATTTGGCTTTCCCAACTTTCTAGCTCTGTTTCCCTGGAGACTAGATAAAGGTAGAATGTTACTGTGTTGCTAGGCAACATTGCTTATGGTCTAAATGACTACTGATTGGTCAACTGCATCTAGGAGAATGATAAATGTCTGGTAGGAAGGCATACTGTGGGACTTCTGTCATTGTGGTGACACTTGTGGACATGTCCCTTGACACATAGAAGATGTATGTATTGAGTTACAAGCGATATTGGCTCCTTTGGAGCATAAGACCTTTAAGCCAAGGGAAGTCCAGAATCCACCTGGATCTCTATTCCTTACACCTGAGATGATCTGGGGAGGAGAGGCTTGCAGAGAGACTAGCTCCTGGGCAGCAGTGTGGCCCACTACACTGACAGTTGTGAAGATTTCCCCAAAGGGAGAAAGGCTGATGCTGCCTTGTTGGCAAGCTGTGACTCCAATCCTGTATCTTTCTAAGTGATTCTGGTGCCAAATGAGGTTACAATAATCTTATATGTCTGAATGTTGAGAAGAACCTAGAAAGACCCCTGGTGATGTTACAGGCCTGAAGGAGGGGTATCCCTGGTATGTTGAAGGAAGAGGCAGGAGGCTGATGGGCTACAGCAGAGTGAGTGAGGGGAAGGATAGTAGAAGAATGAGGCCTCAGAGGCAACAGCTGCCGGATCACGTCGGGCCTTGGAGGCCACTGTAAAGGTTTTGGCTTTGCTCTGGGTGAGATGGGACATGTTTGGAGGATTTTGAGCAGAGGGTTGTCATTATCTGACTTAGGTTTTAATAACCACTCTAGCCAGTGTTCTGTTGAGAATACGTATAGGCGCAAGGGTGGAAGCAGGGGAATTATTTAGAACGCTAGTGCAATAATCCAGACACAACTCAGAAAGCTTGGATCCGGGTTGAAGCAATGGTTCTGAATATATTTTGAAGCAAAAACACTAAGATTTGCTGAAAGATTGAATGTGATGTATGAGAGAAAAACAGAAATCAAGAATGACTAAGATTTTTAGGCCTGAGCAACTGAAAAAAGTTTGTATTTGAGCATGTTAAGTTTGAGATATATGTTAGATATCCACATAGAAGTATTAGGTAAGCAGTTGGATAAAAGACCCAGGAGTTCAGGGTAAGTGAAGAATGGTCATTTTCAAGAAGAAGGAGGTGATGAATCCAGGATGCAAGGGGAAGGGTTTCCCTAGATTTGGGTGGAGGGGGGCATCTTCCACCAGAACGGGAATGATGGCTACAGATGCATTTGGGGGGGGAGGCCACAAAAAGATGGGAGTTTATGTCTTGTGGCTTCTGTGAAGTAGAAAGTGACACATCTGTTGAGAGACTGAGAGGGCGAGGGAAGTAGCCGTATGTGGCAGCAAGGAAAGTAGTGGAGTAGGGTCCTTGAGAAGGGCAAAGATTTGGAATGGCCAGTTTGGGAAATAGTAGAGGGAGGTGACATAGACTGACAGGAGGATGAGACATCTGTCTTACTTTGTTACTGCACCACAGCACCCAGCACTGCTATAGGATCTGCTATAGGAATCCTTTCTCTTGTTTACATATTCTGTGGCAGGAAGAAATGCAGAAAACAGAAACCACACAGAAAATCTATACGAACTAGAAGTTAACTTGGAACAAAATGAAGAAAACAAGAACGTGTACCTACAAAAATGTCCACAACGAACATCATCTAGGAGATTTGTCCTCAGTGAGTGCAGGAGGGGATGCCAGTACAAGTTAAGCACGTTTTCCTGTACTGTGGTCAGAATCATCTTCCTGGAGCACAGCCTGGTCATGTCTCTGTGCTATACTGAAGCTCTTCGCTCTTTCCACTTAGCACCCTGCCCAGCACCACCACTGCTATCTCCTGTGTACAATGCCCGCTCCTCAGATGACCTGGGCCCTTCACACAAAGGCCTGTTTCATCTTACGGTCTTTAAAAAGAAAACGGATGCTTGTTGATTGGGTACAGGAAGTATAGTCTGAGATGTCAACGTTCTAAAAAATGGGAAATTCCCCAAAGGAAGATTACATCAGAATGAAGGCTACCAGGCTCAGAATTCACGTGGGGTGGACCATTCGATTCAACAAACATCCCTGAGCACCAGCAATATCTCAGGCATTGTGTGGGATGCTAGACACTGAAATAGAATATAGTACAGCCCCTGCCCTCAGATTGCTAATAGTCTCAAGACAGTAGAAGTACTTAAATCTGCCATTCAGTGTGTAAGCACCTTAATGGAGGTAGACTCCAAGAGCATTAAATATGATGTTGTCATCTCAGCTACTGGAAGTTAGGGACTTGAGGAGGTGAAAATTGAGCTAAGTCTCAAAGATTGAATATACAAAGCCAAAATATATATTTTAAAAAGGGGAATGGAAGAAAAAATCAGCATAAACAGAAGATTTAGTATGATCACTTCAGAAAGCTCTCATTGATGGGTACTAAGGGCATTTTTGGGGGCATCCTTCAATGGGTGGGACATTCCCACACAACAGAAGAAGAATTGTGCTATCCAGAAGGCTAATGGCACTTCCATGGAGTGACACTGGGAAGGAAACCTGTGCTAGAATCTGTAGGTACTTTACTTAGCTCCCAGAAGGAACCTGTAGAGGTAGATTAGTCCCATTTTTCAAAAGAGAATTTTCTTCTGTTAGGTAACTTATCCCAAAGCCAAGAGGGCTGCAGCCAGGGTTCAAATCTCAGGTTGATTTTCTAACGTGTCTTTCACCCCTGTGCACACTGCTATGGAACATTATAGAATCATTACAGTTGCAGGCATTATGCGGCCAAATTGTGGCTTGTAAAACAGCATTCTTTTTTCTTTAATTTTATTTATTTATTTTTTCCCCCAAAGCCCCAGTAGATAGCTGCATGTCATAGCTGCACATCCTTCTAGTTGCTGTATGTGGGAT